CCGCCGCCCCCGCCCCCGCCGCCGCCCCCGGAGGAGGCTCCCACTGCGACTGTCCCGTCTGCTCGTTGTAGTAGTACGTCATGCCGCTCGCCTTTGGGGAAGGAGGGCACGCGTCTGGGCAGAGCGGGTCGGGGCAGGGGGGGGGGGGGGGGGCACGTCTCCGCATCCCCACGTCCCGAGCCGGGCAACAGCCGCATCCACCGCGCTGGGCGTGCCGCGCCTCGTCCACGCCAGACACCCAGCCAAAGGGCAGGCCCTGCGGCTGGTTGTCGAAGGGGGCGGGGGCGGCCGCGTAGCCCTGGCCCTGCTGCTGGTACCCTTGCTCCTGGTACCCCTGCTGGTCCGGGTAGCCGCCCTGCTGCTGCGGGTAGCCCTGCTGCTGGTAGCCCTGGTCGGTGGCCCACTGCTGCGCCACGGGCGCGGCCGTGCGTGGGGAGCGGCTGATCGGCGCCCTCGGCGCCGATGCGGGCGTCAGCGCGGCCGCGAGCGAGGAGAGGCACGCGAGAGCGAGAAGGCGGAGCATCCAGACGATCGCCCCTTATCGAAGGCGAGACTCGAGCGAGCGCCCCCATGATTTCTTTCTTTACAGTGGCCAGGGGCGGGGCTTGCATTTTTGCCGTCGCCTGTCGCCGCTACAGCGCAGCACACCTATTCTTCTCAGAGAGAGTTTGAGCAATGGCCCTTCTCTTTTCTCGCGGTTTCCTCCGTTTTCTTTCGCCGTTACAGGTTTCGAAGTAACTTGAAGCCCGAACCGTGTTATTTCCTCGAGCGCCGGATAAGCGATTCACACGAGGGCCGTCACAACGTGTTTCTCGGCTCGCCCTCGCCCGGCCCGGCGCTATGCCGGCGCGTTCGCTAGAGGCTGCTGCCGCAGAGCGGAGGCGCGTGCGTCGCCTCGCTACTCTCGCGGCGAAGCAGCTGCCGCCGCCGAGACGCGACGCGGCGTCTGCCGAGGAGAGAGAGCCAGCGCGGCGGTCGCCGACGCCGCCTTCGAGCTGTGTGCCACTTCTCGGGTGCACGACAGCTCTGCGCGGCAGCAGCATCAGCAGCCGCCGCACCGCCACCCGCCTCGCGCCTGTCGCGGCCGGAAGGGAGCACGCCGTCGCTGCCGTGGTACCGAGGGCCGGAGCCCGACTCTCGTACAGTCGAGCGGCTCCGAGGCGAAGCGCTGACACACACAGGGCATGCCGCGCAAGGAGAGCGCGCCTCGAGGCCGGCAAGTGCGCGTACGTGCCGCGCGGTCTTGGTGGCGCGATTCATGAGGTCGCTCTCGCTGCCGGCCGATGAACCCTCGCCGCCCCCGCACCAGCGACACCGGCCGCGGCTCGCCTCCACGCGCCGGCTCGGAAGAGGGGCTGTCGGCGGCGCAGCAGAGCGGCTCGCCTCGGCGCTCGAGCCGCCGACAGCCCCACTCCTCGACGTGACGGCCGCTCCCGGAGCCAGCCGGTGCGCGCCCGACCCACGTTCCCTCTCGCACCCCTCCGACCCCCCCTGCGCGGCGCACCCGCCCGCTGTGCGCCGGCTCGAGCGCCTATCGCCAAATCGCGACGTTTGAGCGCAGCGCACGCGTCCCACACGTCACGCGCGCGCAGGAGAGCGTGCGGCACAGCAGTAGCGTGTACTCGCCGAGGGCATCGCGCCGAAAACCCCGCGCGTTCCGCCCCAGCAGAGGCTGCAGCCTCTGCACAAGCTACACCACTGTAAGAATGGTGAGTACTTGGGGTTGAGTGGGCTTGCTTGCTCCCTTAGCCGGGAGCAAAAATGCAAGAATTTTTACCTTACCTTGTGCCTGGCGAGTAGAGACCACACCTGCTATTCACAGCACAAGCCCTCGCCGGGGGCTCGAGCACAAGCCTTTTTCCAGACGGATCCCCCTGTGAAAAAGTCAGGCGTGGTCTCTACTCGTACTCGCCGGACCTTGTGCCCGGTTGCGCGCGGCGCCAGCGCCTGACGCAATCGCCTCTTGCAGTAGCATGCTCTCGCCGCCCCCTCGCCGCCCAGCCAGTTCGCCGTTCCTCGTCCTCGCTGCGGCGCTCCTCGGCCTCACAGCCCTGCTCCTTCTCGCCTCACAAACGTCGCGGGTGGTGGTGAACACGCCGAGCGAGCGGGGCATGTTCCTGCAGTCTCCAGTTGTGCTGCAGTGGCCTGTCGGCTTCAGTGACGACGCGCCGCCCTTCAGTGACGACACACCGCCCTTGTCACACGACGACACACCGCCGCTCACGCGCAGCGAGTATTATGGCCCGCCGCCCTCGCGCGATCGGCGCAGCCGCAGCGGCAGCGCTATCGACAGCAGCGAAGTGTGTGTGGCAAAGGCGGCGGTCCTGCCGCCCGACCGCGCCGAGCTCGCGCGGTCCACGTGGGAGGGTTCCAACGCCTCGCTCCTCCTCTCGCTCGCGGGCGCGCTCCTCTGCCCGCCGCAGCGCCTCCTGGTGTGGGACTGCTCTCGCTGTGGCGGGCTCGGCCTCAGCCGCCGCCCAAAGGTGATGTTATCGGACGGCGGCTCGTTCCTCGCGCTGGTTGGGGTGCACGAGGCGCTGCAGTGGGTGGTGGTTGCCTTCCGCGGCTCGGTCGACGGCAACCTCGGCGCGTGGGGCCGCAACCTTCAGTGCTGGACGGAGCAGTACCGCTTTGGTGGCTGCGGCGCCTGGATTCACCGCGGGTGGGGGCTGGGATACTCAAAGCTGCGGGGGCGCGTGTGGGCCGCGGCCGTGCAGGCTCTGTCGGAGCACCCGCAATACAGGCTGGTTGTGACGGGGCACAGCGCGGGCGGTGCCCTCGCCTCCCTCTTTGTTGCTGACGCTCTCTACGGTGGCGCTCGTCGCGCCTCCAGCCGGCTCGCGCGCCGAGGGCCACCGCTGACCGACCGCCACCGCCGCCCGCTCGCAGGCGAGCCGCGCCGCCCGCCGCCGCTGCGCGACTGCTGGGCGGCGTGCGGCGGGGCGGGCGCGTGCCCAGCCTTTTGTGGGCAGGGCGGCGCGTGCTGCAAGCAGGGCAGGTTGCCTCTCCCGCCTCTCTTGCCCTCTCCTGCCCCCAGCCCCTCCTCCCCACCGTTTGCTGCCTCGGCCGCCCCTCCTGCAGCGACGACCAGGACCCGTGCCCCGCAACCATGCCCGCCTTTGACGTGCACACTTGCGTCGCCACCGCCGAGGCGCCCGCGCCGCCGCCGCCGCCGCCGCCCTCGCCGCCGGAGGTCAACCTCTTCTTCGACCGGCCGGAGGCGGCGGCGCCGCTCCTCGTCACCTTTGCGAGCCCAATGGCGGGCGACCGCCAGTTCGCCGACCTGGTGGACGCCGGCCTCGACGAGCGCGCCAACGTGCTGCTGCGCGTGGTCAACAGCCACGATGCAGCGGTGCACGCGCCCAACCTCCTGGCGACCGGCCTGCAGCTCAGCATCCCGTGCCCGGCGGGCGGCTGGAGGCAGTACGCCCATCCAGGCCAGGAGGTGTGGCTGCCGGTGGCGGGGGATCCGGACCCGGCCAAGGCGCTCTTCTGCAACAGCTCGGGCGTCTTTAGCGAGGAGGCGAGCTGCAGCTCCGCGAGACGCGCCGAGACATGCCGAGATGCGCCGTTCGCCGCTGCTGCCTTCGACGCGACCCCTCTCCTCCCTCGCCGCGCAGGACGCGTCGACCGCCTCGGACCCGAACCCGCTCTGCTCCTCGTCGCTGCCGCGCAAGAGCCTCACTTGGCTCGACCACAACACGTACCTCGGTGTCGACTCGGGCGCTTGCCACGACGAGCCGTGGCCGAGCGCGACGCCCCTCGATGGGTCGAGGTTGCAGTCAGGAGGGGGGACGTACTCGTACGGCTAGAGGAGGGAAGAGGCGCCCCCTTCGTTCCCGTCTCCCTGCGTGTGGACAGGGCACTCTCTCGCGACCGGCGCCCGCGGCGGCTGCGCGCGCTACAGTTCTCTGATCACACGCACGTGCCTGTGAGCGAGCCTGAGCTCTCGCTTTCACTTCTCGTCATGTGATTGAAACAAACAATGGTTTTGGGGGCCGCGTCTTCTAGAGATACTAGTGGCGCAGCCCGCTCTCGCCGCTCTTCTAGGAGAGAGATATCCTATACACTCTAGAACGAGTCGGCCGACTGCACGCTAATGGCTACACGCTCGCACACCACTTGCTGAGTGGCTCTCCCAGGCGCTCAGCCCATGGCGGAGGCACGCCAGGCCCCGGGGAGTCGGCCGTCACTCGCCTAAGCGCCTAAGCGGCCTAAGCGGGGGGGTGCTTAGGGTGCTTAGGCGCTTAGGCGGCCCTTGCGAGCGTGGCGGCGTGGTGATATCGTAATACAAGTGACTCCGATGACACTCATGATGCTCCTGCTAGTGTCATCGCTCAGAGAGCAGCCTCACCACGTCCACTGTCTACCACTGGCCCTGCCCCTGGTCGGCGCACACTGGTCACTGCCGCTGAGCAGCGCTGGTGCGGCTACTCAGCATCAGCCTCGTCACACGACTCCGCCAGCGCCGTGAATTCCTTATCCAGTTCTAATACTCTTGTATCGCTGCCTTGACCGTGTCCGCACCTGTGCATGGTCCAGCAAGTCGGCCGTGAAAAAACCAAGCGACAGAATGGAAGCCACGGTCGTCGGGACCTGCCGAACCAGAGACGAGGTACTCCAAGCGGTCGTCGTCTTCATCGACAGGGTTCCTCAGCGCCACCGCAGTCATCTGGCTCGGATCGCAGTAACGCACGCCGAGCACCTCTTCAATTTCCAGCAAGTCTGCGTCCATGGACCCGGCAACCTTGTCGCTGGCGAGTGGTGGCAGATGACCGACATCCCACAGCACCAGCAGCAAAGGCGGGCGGGCCGACCCCGCGGCCATCGCCGCCGCTGCCGCCTCCCCCTCCGCCGCCGACCCCTCCGCCGTCGCCGTCACCTTGGGCTGCATCACCCGCGCCGAGTCGCGCACCGGCTCGTGCTCATTCAAAGGCGCCTCGAGTTGCAGGCCAGCGGCACTGGCGTTGTCGTGGTCGGGCTGCCCAACGTCGGCGCAGGAGGGAGGGGGCAAAGCCGTTATGAAGAGCGCGAGTGCGAGCGCCAAGAGGGCCCAGATTCTGAGCAGCAGCCGGCCCGGTCATGCGACCACTTGCCGACGTGCGTCGAGCATTCCCTCCACATAGGACGAACGCTGAAGTTTGCTCTCCGACGTCGTGCCGAGCGAAACCTTTTCCTTCGAAGCTCAGCGACGTAGCCGGGCGAGCGGAGTAGGGCAGTCCTAGAGAGCACCTTGAGGCCATTCAATAGAGCCCGTACTATAGTCGAGGGTCGATCGCCGGCCGGCGCAGTGCTGCTCTGACTGCTCCGCCGGGCCGCCTCCGGGCCGCCGCCGCGGAGACGTGCACATAGGCAAGTTGGTATTTTCATATATGAACTTCAAAATAGTATTGGCTAGTCTAATTCTACTGATCACAACTCGCCAGGAACACCCCCACACTATAGGGTCATTGTGTAGCCCTGCTTAGAAGGAAAAGGTTTTGTGCAAGGTGTCCGTATGGCTCACCGTGTAGTCGGCCAGTCGGTCGGGTATAGCGTGACCATTCTCTCCTCTCGGCTCTCGCAGCTCTCTCCTCGACCGCTGCGCAGCCTGATGCCAGCACGCGCGTGCTCAATATGCCCCACACTAGGCCACCATGCCGACGGCCACGAAGAGGGCGCCGCGTTCGCCCGTGTCCTCCGTCAGGACGAGGTAGAGCGGCACCGACTCGACCATCGGCGAGAGGCGGCCCTTGTTCTTGTACGCGTCGTAGAAGGCCTCCGACTTGATCCACTCCGGGTTCTTCGCCGCGATGCCTCCAGAGATGTACAGGCCGCCCTTGGGCATCCACTTGAGCGCCGCGACGCCCGCCTCGCTGCCATAGCTCTCCGTGAAGATCTTGACCGCCTACTCCGCAGGCCGGTCTCGGGGGGTCTCGGCTCCTCTCCCGCAGCCGCCGGGGGAGGCCCTGACTCTCGCCTTGCGGCAGATGATGTCGCCCGACTTTGCGCCGCGCGCGACGATGGCGCCCTGCATGTGCCATGGCGCCTCTGAAAACTCGAGGTCGACAAACTCGTTGCGGAAGTCGACAAAGGCCTGCTCGCGCGCGGGCGGCGTGGGGAGCGAAGCACGCGCGAGTCGGCGAGCACGCGAGAGCGGCAGAGCGAGCGCGGTGGTGCGCCTCCTGAGGCTAGGTTGAGATCTCGGCTCGATCTCGGCTAGTCCATCGCCCAGTGGTCGCGCAGGAAGGCGTAGATGTTTGCGAGGCCAGGCCCTGAGACGACCCGCTCGACCGAGACGCGCTTGCCCTTCTTGTAGTAGCCTGCAGCAGGGTCCGGAGGTGGTGAGGGACAGCTCTGGCCGAGGCGCCGTCCTCCTTGTGGCGGCCCTTGTTGTCGCCGGTGAAGAGGAACTTGTTCATCATCCAGTCGCGCAAGTCGTGGGTCAGGTCGTCGATCGGCGCGTACCTGAGGAACGAATGGAGTGACGCGTTGATTCGCGCGCGCCGCGGCGGGAGGAGCCGCAGCAGCGCAGGCGCGCACTCGGCGTGCCCGCCCTCCGAGGGGAAGCAAGTGTACCTGTTCACAGCTCCACGTGTGAAGAGACGCTGCCCCACAGCTCGGCAGAAGGGAGCAGTCGCTGCGTTACCGGCCGCTCGCGTCGGCGGTGAGGTAGCACTCGCCCAGCCCCGTGCCCGCGCCGAGGCACGCGATCGGAGCGCCCGGCTTTGGCACTCCGCCGTTGAGGTTGACCTGCGGCAGTGGCGTGGCCGAGGTGACGAGTTTGGGCGGCGGCGGCGGCGGCGTGAGGTGTGTGCTGTGGGTGCTGGCGGCGGCGGTGGTGGGCGATGGCGCGCGTGCATGGTGGCGCGTGTGTGCGGTTGCTGCTCGACCTTTTCGTCCTGGCTCAGCGTGAGCAGGCCATAGCCCTGCGCCTCAAAGTCGTTTATGAGCTTCACCCGGCCGATGCCGAGCTCCTTCTCGAGGAGGGCGCCATCGATCGTCCAGCCGTCCTTCACGTTTGTGAAGGTCACCTTGTTGTCACTGATGGCGCCCGCGCACGCGAGGCAGCACGTCGCGGGCACCGTGTCGCCCGCCTCCTTCAGGAAAACTTTGCAGACGTCGGTGAAGTTGAGGTGCGACGAGTTGAGGTACTTCTTGCTGAATATCACCTCGCCGGGGGGCGGCTTTCCCATCTCGAGCTTGTGCGAGGCCGGCACCTTGAAGAGCGTCAGCCGAGTGTTGGTCCCGCCGCAATCGCCACTCATCACCAGCACGTCGGCGCTCGCGCATGCAGTCGGCACTTGCTGCTGCTGCACGAGCGCCGATGCCGCCACCGCCGCCGCAGCCGCTGCAGCCGAGCTAAGGCCGACCCGTGTCGAGCAGGCTCCTCTCAAGCGGCTCAGGATGCCGATCGACATGATTGGAGCTGGATGGAGCAACGTGTGTCCGACGCCGAGGCCAAAGAATTTGAGGTGAGCACACAGCTTGGGTGAAATCCCTGTGTGGTGGCGGCGTGCCGTCCTCTTTTCGGAAAATGTGTTTCTTTTTTCAGCTGTCCAATTTGTCAGTCCCGAAGGAACTATTCTTCCAACTCGTTGGTTAGTAGTAAGCCATCAGAGAGGAGAAGATTGATTGAAGACTCGTTTTAGTGAGAGAGAGAGAGAGATTTAGCTTTAGTTACGTAGTCAAACAAAGAAATAAAACGACCGACGCAAGGGGAATGGAGGACGGCACACCGCCACCAGACAGGTATTTTAAGTCATTAGGAGGCGGCCCGCCCTAACCTACCGTAATCGACCCTCACGTTCGCTTTGCACGCAATTTTCTTTTTGTATGTCTACGTGTTTCGAACACCCCGGTACGAGCCGCCCGCCTTTTTCCGCCTTCCCCGAGCACCTACCCGCCGTCCACGAGCCCATTTTCGATGGCAGCCGAGTACACGAAGCCCCTCCCCACCGCGACCGCAGTGCCCATGCCGACCGCCACCGCGACCGCAGTGCCCATGCCGACCGCCACCGCGGTGTCCATGCCGACCGCCACCGCAGCCATGGCAGCCCCTGCGCATGCGCCGAGCCCTCGCGTCTCTAATCACGTCGTGGCCGGCGGCATCGACCACTGGCAACACACGCTGTTTGACTGCAGCTCCGACAAGGGCTGCTGCTCCGACATGGGCCTCTGCTGCCTCGCCTCCTTTTGCGCGCCGTGCGCGTACGGACAGCTCGTCAACCGCATCAAGACGGGCTACCCGGGTGATTTCTGTGGTGACACAGGAGCGTGTGCAAGCTTCCTCGGCCTCTCATTTATTCCCTACGTGGGCGGTCTCGTGGCGGCGGCTTACAGCGCCCAAACCCGTACGGAGATCCGCACAGCGTACCGCCTCCCGGAGACACCATGCAACGACGTCTGTGTGCACGTTTGTTGCTTGCCCTGGGCGCTCTTTCAAGAGACCAAGGAGGTGACTGCCCGGCAGCGGGACGGCCAAGGCGTCCCTGTGAGCCCTCGCTACGCTGTCCAGCCTATGACGGCGGCTCCCACCCAAGGCGTTTCCATGGCGCGTTCGTGAGGCTTTTTGCATTGGACCTGGGAGCGGATGTGCGTGTCGGCATGTGCACGGTGAATCAGAATCGGTCGTATAGATTTTCCCCTCACCTCCCACGCGTCAATCATACCGTACAAGACAGGGAAAATGCCGGGAGTACCCCCGGGCCTGGGCGCCGCGCCGGCCGCCTGCGCGCCGCCCCGCGGGCGCAGCTCTCTCCTCCGCGCCGCTCCCCGCCACCCCCGGCGGGTTCTCTCCTCACGCGCCCATCGAAGGCGTCAGCTCTGCTAGGGGGAGGGCGACGAGGAGGCCCTCCTCCGTCCCTGCGATCACGTCGCCCGTCGACCGGCGGAGCCCGATGCTGCAGAAGGGCTCGGCGTGCCGCCACTCCTTGAGCAGCCCACCAGAGTCGTAGTCCCACACCCGTACCGCCGCCTCGGAGCAGGCGACGAGCCAGCCGGAGTCGGGCACAACGAGCAGGCCACGGAGAGGCCCCTCTTGCACACGGGGGAGCACGCGGAGCAGCGCGTATGCGTACAGGTCCCAGAGCCGCACCGAGCCGTCGTCCGAGCCCGAGAGCAGAAAGTGGCCATCGACTGCGAGGTGGCCGACTGGCTCGGTGTGGCCGCGCAGCTGTCCGAGCAGCGCGTGAGTATCGAGCGACCATATCTTGATGGGCGCACCGGATCCGGCGGTGACGTACCGCGGCGTCAGCTCCGCGGCGCGCACGGCGAGCACCTCCTCCTCGTGGGCGGCGAAGAGCAGCTCGAGCCTTGGCGGCCGCTGCCCGCTAATGTCCCACGCGCCAACCGTGCCGTCAAAGCTCGACGAGAGGAGCCGCACGGACTTGCCGCGTGTGTCGACGCTGAGGCACGTCACTGTGTTGGAGTGGCCCGACAGCGTCACCGTCGATCCCGAGTCCACATGCCACAGCCGAATCGCGCCGTCATCGTGCCCAGTGACGAGCCGCTCACAGCGCGGGCAATGGATTAGGCAGGCAATTTCGGACCGAACCTCGTGAAAGATGGATGTGCACGACATGTCTTGCGGGTCCCACGCGCGGATGGTGCCGTCGAGGGAAGCGGAGTAGACCGCGCTCTCGCTGGACCGTGTCGAAAGCGCCGCTTCCGGCGAGCGCGCCGCGTCTGAGCGCCGCTCCTCCCCCTCGTCGCACACGGCAGCTGTGCCGGGTCCGGCGACAGCAACGACTGCCGCGCTGTGTGCGGCGGCCCTCACGCTGCTGATTCCGTGGACGACGCGCCACGCGTCGACAGCGGTGCCCGAGGAGGAGAGGAGGCGCCCTCCCTCCGCGAGAGCGAGATGGCGCAGCCCGCCCTGACTGGGTCCCGGCTTGCCCACGCGCGGCCCCGTGGAATCGATCCGGCTGACCCGAACCGCATTGGCCAGTGCGGCTGCCACCTTTTCGCCGCCTTGCTTTGGGAGGGCCCCATCGCCCCACAAGCGCTCACATTTGAGGCAGCCCTCGCCGCCGACGTCCCAGATGCTCAAGTGCCCACTCTCGTCCCCAAGGAGCAGCTCCGAACGGGCGCCGTCCCAGCACAGAGCGGTGAATCGAGACCTGTGCGGGCTATCGATGATGCGTGTCACGGCGCCGCTGCGCGTGTCCAGCACCTTCGCGGTGCAGTCGTACGACGCGGAGACCAGCACACGCTCACCCGGCACCAGCAGCAGCCGAGTGACGCCCAGCGAGTGCACCCGCGGCTGCTGCCGCCAGCGGCTGAGGCGCATTGCACCGCCGGCAGGGCGGTACACGGAGATGTGTCCTCGCTCGTCGCCCACGTAGAGCGTCTCCTCCTTGCTGTGGAGCGCGAGCGCGTTGATCCAGCCGCTGACGTCTCTCAGGACCTGCACCTCACTAAACCACGGGTGCAACATCACTGTGCGGGCCGGATCGGCGCGCCAGATGCGGACAGTCGAGTCTGTCGAGCCGGTGACTAGCATTCCAGTGTCAGTAATGGCAAGGTCGGTGACGGTGCCACCGTGCCCACGGAGCGTCTGTACGCAGGCCGGTTCGGGCTCACTGCTCGCAGGGTCCCACACTCGCACGGTGCGGTCGGCTGAGCAGCTGAGGAGGAGGTAGCCTCCGTGGCCTCCAACCTCGGGACCGCTGACAAAGAGCAGCCCACAGACGAGGCCACTGTGTCCGCGCAGCATGCGGGGCTTGGTCTCCGCACAGGACGGCTCGCCACGGCTGGTGAAGAGAGCAACTGCGCCGTTGGCAAGTCCGGCTGCGGTCAGCTCGGTGGCACCGCCACGCCGCGGGCGATGTGAGGCGTGGCAAGTGACGGCAGACGACGAGTCCTGCTCGACGACGTACGTGGAGCAGTGAGCCACCTGTATCGTGCTTTCGCGCATTCGCGAGCGGCCAGGAGACGTTTCGCCGTCGACTGGTAAGGGAGGGCGCCTGGCTGGGTCTAAATTTAGTGCGGTGTTGTTGGGAGTGTGAACGCCCTACTCATGGAAGAGAGAGAAGATGTATAGACGTCTCGCTATCCTAGCGAGATGTCTGTGTGAACAGGGACATGTGCGGGACGTGTCAGGCGCTTTTCTCTGTTTGTCGGTCAACCGCGGCTTGGCTGATGTAGTCTTGCTTGTCCGTTCCTGTACGCCTCGGTACAGACCCTCGCTCCGTGTACAGCTCACAGCTCACTACATGGTTCCTCCGGCGAGATCGCGGAGCGATGAGATCGACGGCAACTTGGTCGTCATGAGTGGTGCTGGTGCGGTGCGACCGCACAGCTTAGTCTGGCTAGCGCTCGATACGGTAGCCGGCACCATGGACACCTGCGGGGTGTCGTGGTGGCAGTCAGGGTCGGAGTCCCTGCTCACAAGTCTTCTTGGCACCTCGGCCAGGAGCCTGCTTGGCAACTCGGCCGTGCAGCGTGTAAACCGGACTGATGCCCGTCCGGCACAGTATTTCCCGTCTTCGCTCGATACGAAGGCTGGTGCCGTGCGAGCCTGGGGCTCGACGTGGAGCTGGGTTGGAGCCCCAGCAAGCGGCAACTCGGCCGCGACCCGACTCGGCAAATCGGCCGAGCTCGGCGACATTCGAATGATCTCTGACGTCTGTTCTTCGTCTACTTCGGTTCCCACCACGAGCACCTCGGCTTCGTGGGCACGGATCTTCTCTCCTTCTTCACTTTACCGGCTCGCTCTCATCTCCTTTGAGCCACCACCACCGCCGCTGCCTCTGTCGCCGCCGCCGCCAGCCCTCGAGCCAGTCCAGCTGCCTCCTCTGGAGCAGCCTGGACCCCGGCTCTCGCCACCATCAACTCCATCGCCGCCGCCGCTCTGGACGAGGGCAACTTTCTACGACCAGAGCCTTGCGCCGCTGAAATATGACGACGGGGGCACTCTTCTGCCCAGGATCGCGGCGACTGCCACATCGTGGGGGAGGCTGGGACATTGGTGCGATGTGGCGACGCCGCGTCTTTGCAGTATTTCGCTCTCCTCTGCCTCCCGCCTCTTCGGTTTCGCTCTTCCCTCCGCCCGCCGCCTGTGGCGCGGCATCCGACGAGCCCTACTCGTCTACTCGACGACTACGCCCGAGCCCTTACCTTTGGGCAGGAAGGATTAACCGCATCACACTCCGCTGTGTTGTCTGCCGCATCTGAAGACCGCGCAGACAATGGGGGAGTGTTGGGAGTGTGAACGCCCTACTCATGGAAGAGAGAGAAGATGTATAGACGTCTCGCTATCCTAGCGAGATGTCTGTGTGAACAGGGACATGTGCGGGACGTGTCAGGACCATTACCTTTTCTCTGTTTGTCGGTCAACCGCGGCTTGGCTGATGTAGTCTTGCTTGTCCGTTCCTGTACGCCTCGGTACAGACCCTCGCTCAGCCCTGCCCTAGAGGGAATTTTTCACAATATCGCAACCGCGATACCGCGCGATATTTGGCGATAAAATGCGATAAATGGCGATGTTGTGCGATGCTCGCGATCACGCGAGCCCTTCACAGCACGCCTCAGCGACGCGCGTGAAGCGTTACAAAGGGACGGGCGCCGTCGCGCTTCGTCCTGGCGCTTCGCTCGCTCCGCTCGCGTTGCGCAGCTGGATCTGGCTGGCTACACACCTCGCGGCTTGCACATGAGCAGCGACAGCAGCGACCACGGCAATAGTCAGAAGAAGAAGAAGCGGTCCCGGCACAAGTGCACGGCGACAGCACTGCCGCCCGCAGAACCGTCGCCCACACCACAGCTGGCGCCGTGGCGGTCCACACAGTTCCAACTCGTCGACGGCGTGAACCGCTACCGTGCTGGACAACAGGAGGTCGACGGCACTATCATGCTATATGGGGCCGTCGGCGGCCACATGTGCAGCTTTGCCCAGCTGACCGACTACTCCCGAGGGCTCGAGGTGGGACGACGCAAGGCCCCGCGAGAGCGCTTCGCCTGCGGCGCGCCTGCCCGGCCATGGACCAGGCTTCACCGCTGCTTGCGGACGGTTGATCGCATCGCCTACCGCATCGCGAATGACCAGTGCTGCGACCACTTGAGCTTGCACTGCCTGCCTGCTGACCCGGTGCAAAGAATCAGCGTCTCGCTCTCTTCGGCGCATTGATTGTGCATGAATGCTCAAGTGGCTCGAATTGGCATCCACCGCAATGCAAACATGACTGGAGAGCATATGCAACATGGACGCAGGCTTGCCGTTGGCGACGTCGGTTATCAGAGGGGTCAAGTCATAGTGACGCGCTCGATGGGTTGCTGCATTGACGCAGACAGCAAAAGCAGCGCAGCGGAGACCTTCTCATGAGTGGCGGTTCGCACCATGCGGCAGTGGGGACATCAGGTGCGCGAATTTAAGCGCCATTTTCGATTCCGTGGTTTTGGCACTGTCTACCAACTTTGGTACAGATCGACTTGGTCTGGGCACAGTCGCACAGACGAGCCCTGCGCGGGGCTGCGCATGCAGCAATATTGCGCGATATTGCGCGATATTGC